CCCACCCCTGCTCCAGCCCCCCCCAAGGCAAGTCTGAGCCAAATCACGGCCCGCCCCGCCCCCCATCACTAACTGCAGGAACGCATATGTGATCACAGCTCCTTGCTCACGCATCCAGACATGCGCATTCATTCATTCATTCAATAAAGTGTTCTAAGCACCTGCTCTGGGCTGGACCCTGTGCTGGGTGCTGGCAACAGGGGAGGACGCAGCATTCTGGCTTCCTGCCATGGGGCACACATGGCCTCAGAAGGAAGCAAGATGCTCATGAGCCATTATTGTACAAAATAGTGCTGACACCAGGGGAGCACACAGGAGGGAGGGACCATGTAGTGAAATGGGAGAGACAATCACCCCAGCACGGCTGGCAGTCAGGGAAGGCTACTTGGAGGAGGCGATCGCTTTCCAAGACCCAAAGACTGAACAGGAGCTAGTCAATGAGGAGGAGAAGGGAAATGGGAAACAGACAGAAGGAACAGCGTGACAGGAGGTCTGGACTCCCTTGGGAACATGCCGCCTTGAGGAATGGATAGGAGGCCGACAGGGTTGGATCTTGGGGTGCACACTGGAGAGTTGGGGGTAAGGCTGAGGGGCTGCCAGAGTGACACTGGGCTGGGTCTTGTAGGCCACGGGGAAGATTTGAACTTCTCCCCTGGGCAGTGAAGGCAGTGAGCAGGGGAGTGAAGGATCAAACGTGAATTTCAGAATGCGTATCCGGGCTGTGTATACACCTGCATGCGCGTTCCCGTACAAGCATGCCTGTGTGTGTGTCCCTGTTCCCAAGTCCCCGCACAGCCAGACACACACAGGGACACACCTGTGTGCCCGGCCCCGTGCGGAGCTCTTCATGAACACCCAGGCTGGCCCTGCAGGGAGATTCTGCCCAGTCTCTGCATTTAACGGAGGACACCGAGGCTTGGAGAGCTGGGGAGATTTGCCCAGAGAAACACATGTTGGCTCAGCAAAGCAGAGACTCCACGCCTGGGCAACCTGTTTCCAGCCTGTGCTCGTGACCCCCAGGCTCCGGTGGCCCCTTGGTGAGGAGAGGTAGCCGGCAGACAACAACCCGGAGAAGCCTCAGTTCAGCTTTGGAAGGACCGGCTGGAGTTCCTCCTGCTCACCTTGCCGGCTCCGCCCGCCCAGCCCGCCAAACAGGCTGGGTTTGTTTTCTGGGGAAACTAGAGATGGAACGTCCCAGACAAGGACCCTAGGATGACCAGGCGGTTCATGAAGCTCCCACTCCTGCCCCTTGGCCCTGTAACCCTTTACAGAGCAGGGTCACTCATATTATTTCTTTTCTTTCTGGAACATCAGAGCTGGCTAAGACCTGGCTAAGCTGGAGGAGATCTGGTCAGGCCCCTCTGTATCAGGTTCCCGTTGCTGTTGTAACAAAGGACCACAGATGCAGTGCTTTAAACAACACAAATTTATTCTCTTACAGTCTGGAGGTCAGAAGTCCCAAAGTCAAGGTGTCGAGAGGCTGTGTTCCTTTCACTCTAGAAGAGAGTCTGTTTCCTTGCTTTTTCTAGCTTCTCGAGGCTGCCCACAGTCCTCGGCTTGTGGCTCCTTCCTCCTTCTTCAAAGCCAGCAGCAAAGCCTCCTCCAATTTCTCTGACTCTGACCTTCCTGTCTCTCTTGGGACCTTGAATACGTGGGCAAGAAGCTGGGTTGGGAGCCTGCGGGGAATCTGTCAGGAGCCTGGCAGGTGGGTGACTTCAAAAGTTCCAGGAGGTGGCCTCCCTGTGTCCTCTTGGATCAGGCCAGTCTCAGTCCTGGAGGCCACAGCCCAGGTCCTGAGGCAGGGACAGGGGAAGGAATCCATATGGAGGGGGCACCTAGTCCATTTAGGGGGCACATGGAGACAAGAGCAAATTCAATCGGGTCCCTTGTTCATTCTACAGCAAATCTGTGCAAGCCAGCACTGCAGAGAGGTAGAGAAATGTCCGCTCTGGAGCCAGAAGGCCTTAGGTTCAAATCCCAGGTCCGCTACTTATCAGCTGGGAGGCCAGGGGCAGCTGATTTGACCCCTCAGTTTCCCCACCTTGAGTTATTGTGAGGATTAAGTGAATGACTCCAAAGGACAACACTAAATACACATTTGCTGTGATGATGCTGCTGATGACCATTATTACCTCTAGTGTTGTAAGCCAGGAGGTGGGGACTGGGTCACCGCACGCTGCTAGGGCTCTTTGCTCCTCTTCTAGAAGAGGTAGTCAGAAGAAACGGTGTTCGAGGCGAGTGGGTCAGGCCCTTCTACTTCCCGTCCACTTTGGGGCCAGCCCCAGCCAGCATACCTCCTGAGAGCCTAGCTTCCAGTTTTTCCAATCCCACCTCTGGCCAGGCCAGTCCGTTCCAGGTGGGGTCTGAAATCCAGGCTGGGATTTTCTTCTGCCCCAACTTAATCCCTCCTGCTTCTGTGGGTCCCGCCCAGTGAGTCCCCTCCCCGGGAGAGTGGGGGCATCCTGGGCTGGATTCTGTGGCTTCCCAGGTCCTGCAAGGTCCTGCTCCACCTGCCCAGACCCCGCGTGGTCCCTTGCCTGTCCACACCGACCTGCCTCCCCCACCGCCCCCACACAGATCCTTCCTCTCTCTCCCGCTCACACAATGCAGCCCACTCACTGTGCCTTCTGCCCCTCCCACCACTCACTCTCCCACCCTAGCCTTTGCTTTCAAGGTAACCTTGCCACTTTCTCCAGGAAGCCTCCCTGATGTCTGTGGCTGGGTTAGAGCCTTTTCTCTGAGCTGCCTGTAGCTCTGTCATCATAGCCCGTATTTATGGGTCTATTTTATTTGTGTCTGTTTCTCCCACTGGATGAGGACTCCATCCTTGCACACAATGGCACATAGTAGGTGCGCAGTACACCTTCGTTAAAGATAGGAAGGAAGGAAGGTTAGTCCAGCCCTTCAGGAAGCAAGAGAAAACAGGGTTGATGGGGGTGGGGGTGGGGGTGGGGGTCAGCTCTCAGCCTGCCGCGCCCAAGGGGAGCCCTCTGTCCCCCCTCCTCTCTCCCCTCTGCCTGCTGAACCCAGCAGACGGCAGAGTGGGGTGGGGTGGGGGCAGCGGGAGTGGTGGTAGGGAGCTGCAGACCGAATACCCCCGGGGACGGGAGGGCTGAGCTCTGAGGTCTCTAGAAAAGGTGGAGCTGGCGGGGAGGAGAGGCTGAAGCTCACATCTGGCTTTGCCCACCCAGGCAGCAGCTCCTGCGGGCAGCACATTCATCCCTGCATCACCGCCACCCCCCTCCACCCCTGCGGAGCCCCCCTCCCCCGCTCCTCCTCCTAGGGAGATACTAGAGGGCCCCTTTCACGGCTGCCCTTGGGTCTGTGTGCACAGTTTCGCCGGCTCTGTGTGTGAAAACCTCAGTTCCTGAGACATTGGAACCAAACTGAGGTTCCTGGCCCATTTGCTCCTGCGCCTAACGTACTGAAGGGCGCCCCCCGGCCCCCCCAGGATGGTGCCTGGGTCAGCTCCCCTTCCCAGGCGCCTTGGCTGAACAGAGTCCTGGGATGGAATCTAGCCTGGGGTGAGGAAAGGAGGGGCTCTTTCCTGAGCCCTAGTGCCACGGTGGGAGAGGCCACAGAAATCAGTGGACCGGGCAGAGGGTTCAGAAGGCAGCTGCAGAGCATCAGGGGACTCTGGGGCAGGGAATCAAGGGGCTGGGGGTTTCTGGGGGCTGTCAGCGGTTGATCCCAAGGGCCGAGGCAGCGGGGGGGTGGGGGGGTGGAGGGCGGGCTGTGCAGTGAGGGCAAGGCCCCGCCTGGAGGTAGGGAGAAGGGCCACCCGGGGAACCAAGGAATCTGTGATGTACTCGAGGAGCCGGGAGTTCTCTCTTCGGCCACCCTCACGCTGGCTCGCCCCAAGGGCTTATTATTATCACGACTGGTGTTATCCCTTTTCCCCCAGCACCCGCCCACCCCGGTCCGGGCAGGCGACTGGCTGCAAAGGGTGCCCTCCTGGAGCTCCCAGCTAGGGGTCTGCAGGTGGAGGATTACTGGAGTCTGCCGCTCTGGGGGTCGCTGAGGCGGTGGATCTGGGAAGGAGATGGGGGCGCGGTTTCTGGGAAAGCCCACATCGAGAGTTGAAGCCCAGAGAGAGGAGCTGAACCCAAGGCCGGGGAGTCAAAGACAGGAAGGGTGTTTCTGGCCGTTGGAACATTGAGTGCTAGGGCCCGAGATGGGGCAATACCTGGGAACCACAGTCATTCTGTACAAACCCGGGGGCCGAGTGGAAGCGTGGCAACGGGTGGCGGAAGCAGGGCCTTGAACGCCGAGGACGGCCCGCCCTCCCGCTCCTTGGACCGGGCTGGCCGCCACCCGCGGCCCCCTCCCCGCCTCCTTCGGGCGGGCCCGGGGAAGGCTGTGGACGGCCGCGGCTGCCCTTTCAAGTCGGCCTCCCGGAGGCTCCCGAGCCGGCCGGGCCGGGGGGGGGGGGGGGGGGGGGCTCTGCGCCGACATCAAAGCCCGGCGCCCCCAGCCAGATCCGGTTGCGGAAGGGGCGGGCGAGCCGGGGAGGGAGGCAGGTTTCGGCGGATTCCCCTTTCATCCCGTGGCTCGGCGGCCGCGGACCTCGGGGAGGCCCCGCACGTCCCTGCTGGGCAAGTCCGCGCAGGGCCGCGAGCGGCGCCGCCGGGCCGGGCGGGGCTGTGTGGCTTCGGGCCGGTCCCTGCCCTTCTCCGTGCCTCGGGCACCTTCCTCCCTGCCCCGGAGGCCTCGGCGCGGGGCCTTCTCGGGAGGGGCGTTCGGGGGAGACTCGGGAAGTTTGGATCCCCGAGATCGGGCGAAGAGCCGGGGCTGACCGAGACGCACCTGCGCCTGGCGCCCACTCGGCCCGCGGGAGGGCGGTCTCAGGGACCCCCTGCAGCGTCCCCCCCCCAACCCCGCTGTGCTGGCGGGGGAGGGGGGTCCCTCGGGCCTCAGCTTCCTAGAAGCCAGAGGGAGCCGACATTGCTTGTCCTTCTTCACGGTTGAGGCTGAACACATTCCTTCTTGCGAAATGGCTCTACTTTATTATTATTATTTTTAAGATTTTATTTATTTAGGGGCGCCTGGGTGGCTCAGTCGTTAAGCGGCTGCCTTCGGCTCAGGTCATGATCCCAGGGTCCTGGGATCGATCCCCGCATCGGGCTCCCTGCTTGGCGGGAAGCCTGCTTCTTCCTCTCCCACTCCCCCTGCTTGTGTTCCCTCTCTCGCTGTGTCTCTGTCAAATAAACAATATCTTTAAAAAAAAAAAAAGATTTTGTTTATTTGAGAGAGAGAGAGCAAGCACACGAGCAGGGAGGAGAGGCAGAGGGAGAGGGAGAAGCAGACTCCCCACTGAGCAGGGAACCTGATTTGGGGGGGGCTCGATCCCAGGAACCTGAGATCATGACCTGAGCCGAAGGCAGACACCCAGGAGCCCCATGGCTCTACTTTCGGATGTCACAACAGTAAGAATGACAATGACCACACACTCTCCCACATAAGCCTCCCAGTGTGGTTGATTAAGGACATCCTTTCCCAGGTGAACAGCCTGAGGCTCAAGAGAGGGGACTTGTTTTGCCCCAGATCACATAGCCAGGAAACCAGCGAGATGCAGGCTCCGTGGACAGGATGCACTTGGTGGAGTCTGCACTCAGCTGTTCATGCCCGCTGCCCCTGCCTTGATCACCACACAGGAGCGGAGCAGGGGGAGGCCAGACTGGGAATAATGAGAGCAGACGCTGATCTGGCACTGGCAACAGGCAGCACCCTGAGAGGAAGGTGTATCTATCACCCCCATTTTACAGATGGGGAAACTGAGACACCAGGAGGTCATACAGCCGGCTAAGTAGCAGGGCTGGGTACTGACCTAGTTTTTTAGCTCCAGGGACTTGGGGCTTAGCCACTGCGGTAGGGGGGTGGGTGAGAAAGTCAGAGAGAGCCCTTGACCCCCAGAGCACTTGCTGTGTGTCTGCCCCAGGCCAGGAACCTGCTGAGTCAGCACATGAACCTCAGCTGGGGGGTGCTATTCTATGCGGGCTATTCAGCAGAGGCACCAAGGCACAGAGAAGTGAAGGATGGGCCACAGTGGCCAGGAAATGACAGAGTCAGACCTTGCACATGGCCTGTCTGGCCCGCCTCGACAGCTGTGGTGGCAGAGAGGGGGACTACCACCGCCACCCTTCACCCACCCCCGTGGGCCAAGCCATGCAGACAGAGCCCTTGAAGGGCTTCTCTGCCCCCCTTATCTGCCAAGAGGGGGCACTTTTAATGGGCCTCCCCAGGATGCCAGGTGCACTCAGGCTGGTGGGATGGGACGGGTGCCTGGGTATTAGGCAGATGCCACCCCAACCCAGAGATTTAAAATTCCTCCCTGGAAAATCAGATAATCAAGGAAGTCACATACCGTGAAATGAGTGTGATCCTTGCCAGAAACCCAGAGGGAGCATCAGAAAATCATCACATGGCAAGTGTGGGCCTGTGACTCAACCCCCTCGCTTTATAGGCAGGGAAACTGAGGCACAGATCCCAGCAGGAAGAGTCCCACAGAGAGGATCCCCTCCCCTTCCCCGGCGTCTCTTGAGGGCCTCCTGTGTGGCCGGCTGTGTGTTGGGGCCTGTTCAGTGCCTACGCTCCCCGAGCTCAAGTGTCTGCTGAGAAAGGTTTGTCGGTGCTGTTCATGTTACCTTTATTCAATTCTGATCCTGGGGGGCTCACCTGAGGAGGAGACATCTAAGCGGAAACCTGATCTTAAGTAGGAGTCAGTGAAGCTGGTGAGAAGAACATTTCAGGCAGAGGGGGAAACATGTGCAAAGGCCCTGGGGCATGAAGGAGTTTGGCTCAGGAGAGTAAAGAAGCCAGAAGCCTGCTGCTAGAGTGGGGAGTGGGGAGGCGGGGCGCATGGAGGGAGAAGCCAGGGGGGAGGCAGAGGGGGCAGGACCTGGGGGCTTGGAGGAGCCTGCCTAGGCCAAGTCAGTGTTGGATGGGGGGAGAGGAGGCAAGCAGTGGGAGTCAAAGCTGGCGACTAGGAATCCAGCCCACAGTGACCACCCCAGGACTTCCAACCTCAGGAGAACCCTGGCTGGGAGCAGGAGAGAGGAGGGAGCTGTCTCCAGTCCTGTTTTAAACCCTGCTCTGTTGAGCTCCTGAAAGAAAAAGGGAGCTCAAAAGGGAAAATTTGCAAGTTAGATTTACCCTCAATTCTACTAAAGCACCAAAAGCTGTTGAAAAATAGTATTAGGGTCTTAACTCCACAAATGTTGGAAATCCCAGCCTGGAAGGCCGATGAAGGCCATTCCCTGTCCTCCCTACATCGGGGAAGGAGGATGGGGCAGCAAGAGGCCCCAGATTGGGCAACCCGGCCTGGCCTGTGGGCTCAGCTAATGTGGGCAAAGGGGAGGCCTCCCAAGGAGAACACGGGGCTCCCCAGACTTGGTTTGGGCTTCTCGGAAGTGTGCTGTATAGAGGGTTGGGCTATTTTGACCACAGGATGCACAACCGCTTATGGGGGTGGGCAAGTCTTATCCTTGGCCATGGATGGGGGAGGAGGAAGAAGGGAGAGGGAGGAAGAGGGGCAGAGAGGAGGGAGAGAGGGAAGGGAAGAAGTCCATGCTGGGTAGCAATCATTGCAACGAGGTGTGTGCCCATGTGATCCCCACTGTCTGTTCCTTCCCTGATGGGAACATCAAGTCTGCTGACAGGGGTGTCCCTGTGCTGGCCCCAGGCCAGGGGAATCTCCAGGTTGGTCTCAGCTGACCCTCACAAAGTTCTGGACCCCAGTCACCCTGCTCAGCCAGACCCCAAGCCAGACCCTGGGCGCTTAACCTGGGGCTCTGTACTCCTCTCTCTCTCTGGGCCTAACCCACAGGTTTACTCAGATGCCTGGCACTCTGTGTGTAGAGGTGTGTGTGTGTGTGTGTGTGAGAGAGAGAGAGAGAGAGAGAGAGAGAGCACGCATCTGCAGATGTTAGGTTAGGAGTGCTGACTGGGCCAGACAGGCTGGGCCTAGATCCTGGCTTAAACACTTGTGAGCTGTGTGACCTTGGGTGAGTGACCCAACCTCTCTGTGCCTCAATTATGAGGAATTCATGAGTTAATCTGAGAAACCCCATAGCAGAGCCCCTGAAACAGAGCAAGTGCTCAATTTTAGCTACTAAAAGGCTGACAATAAGATTCCTTTAGGAAGGGGCTCTAAACTGAAGGGAGGGGGGTCTCAGAAGGCCCAAGAAGCTCCTGGAATTGACTGCAAAGCTTTGTGTGTAGGTATGTTTTTCTGAACTGAGAAGGTCCTTAGCTTTCATCACAAAGTCTCATGACCCCCCAAAAGTTGAGCACCCTTGATCCAGCACTGACAGCCTCCCCTGTGCCTGGAGGGTCCCTCTTCATACAACTTTTGAGGGCTGCCTGTTACCTGCCCGCATGTGGGTGGTAGGCTGTCCTGCAGACCCCCACGGGCACCCACGCATGGGGGGCCATGTGTGCGCAGGGACGGTGAGCCCCTAACTCAAGGGGTATTATTTTTCAGGCTGAGACAACACTGCACAGTTGTATCCAAACCAGCTCCTTTCTCCAGGATGGGGAGGCTTGAAAACAGACTTCAAAGGCAAGCTTTGAATCAACAAAACACAATAAAAATAACTCTTGGAACCCAAATGCTGAATCACAGCCCCAGGCACATTAAGCCAGCTGATGCCAACCCTCCCTGACAGACTCAGGCCTTAAGGCTGGGGCCTTGCGGGGCCAGGCATCCTCTTGTGAGACCCTACTGGCCTTGCTGGGACTCCCACCGGCTCCATTCCGGCGGCTGTCAGGCAAGAAGGGTCCTTTGCCCAATTCTTACCTGCTGAAGTGAGGGGCTTCCCCGTCTGGCATCGGGGAAGTTGTGAGTATCTGGGAAGGGGGCAGTGCCACCCCGGGGAGGGTGAACCTGCTCCTAGGAGGCAGCGTGGCTTTGAGGCTTCCGATCTGGGTCGGGCTATGTGGCCCCAGGGTGATGGCAGCACCTCTCTGAGCCTTGGAGAAATGGGAATCACGCAATACCCCCTTCTCAGCAATCCTTGTAATGAGAACCAGAGAGGGGCCGTGGGGGAGGCCTGGGTGTATGGCCAAGGCCAGGCACTGTGCGTGGGTGACCAGGACACCCATACTTCCTGTGCGACACTCAGTCCCCACTTCTCCATCTACAAAATTAAATGACCTTGAAAGAGCTTTCCATGACATCTCAGATTGTGAAGTGAGAACCCTAAGTGCACAGTAGTGTGTACAATACAGAACGTAGGTAAAATTGACATTACAAAATAAAAATAGAGGCATGTTGGGGCGCCTGGGTGGCGCAGTCTGTTGGGCGTCTGACTCTTGGTTTCGGCTCAGGTTGTGATCTCCGGGTTGTGAGATTGAGCCCCGCGTCGGGGCTCTGTCCTCAACGCGGTGTCGGCTTGGGACTCTCTCTCCCTCTGCCCCTCCCTACACCCACTTGTGCTCTCTCTCTCTCTCAAATAAATCTTTAAAAATACAGGCATGTCTGTACTTCCTTGTATGTGCACAGAATATCTCTGGGAGGTGCCCAGGAAATGGGGTTACCGAGTAGGAGGACCACGGCCGGGTGGGGGTGGCTGGGAGCAGTTTGGGGCTTCTGCCTGTCCTGCTGTGCCCCATGCCTGCATTATCTAGTCAGTACAGACACAAGGGTGTGTTTTTTTTTAAGATTTTATTTATTTGAGAGAGAGAGAGAGAGAGAGCATGAGCAGGGGGGAGGGACAGAGGGAGAGGGAGAAGCAGGCTCTCCCCTGAGCAGGGAGCCGGATGAGGGACTGGATCCCAGGACCCCGGGACCATGACCTGAGCCAAAGGCAGGCGCTTAACCCACTGAGCCACCCAGGTGCTCCTAGGTTTTTGTTTTTGTTTTTTAAACTCCTTTTGGAGGTTTGCTGGTCCAGACCTCCTGCCTGACGCTGACCCAGCTCCCAGGGAGCTGCCCTGAGGGATCCAGAGACCCGTGACAGGGATTTGGGGTCAGGACAAAGCCCACTCCGTGGTGTCATCTCCCAGGATCTGCTCCTCTCCCCAGCCTCACTCTGGCCTCTTAGTCTCTCTGCCCGGCCAGCTGGAACTCCCCACAAGCCGTCTAACCCGTGTGTGTTTGGGGAGGGGGGTGCCCTGCCTTCAGGCCAGTGCACCTGCAGGTGGTTCTAACCCCCTCTTGCTGGGCAGTCTGGGTGGCCCCCGTGCACCACGTGCACAGTTTAATGTCTGTGTCCAGGACCAGCCACACAACTTGCCAGGGCCCAGGGCAAAATAAAAACGCAAGGCCCCTTGTTTAAAATGGACAATTTCAAGATGACACCAGAAGACCATTAAACGGGGTGCAGAACGCTTCTCCTGCAGGGGTCACACATCTGGGAAGCCAGCTCCATCCGTATCTCCCTCACCAAGATGGGGGCTCCCTGAAGTAGAAACACCGTCTCTCTTGTTCATAGAGCCCAGGACAGAGCCTGGTATGCAGTAGATGCTCAATTACTGTGTTCTGTGAATGAATGAATGAATGAATGAATGAATGGGAAGCAGGGGAACCGAGGAGTGGTAGAGTTTGTCAGCCACAGCCACCTGTGTATGCGGGTTACAGCCCTGCCCTCTGGGCTGGAGGAAATCTGAGCCAGCTTCCAGGAGGAGGAAGACTCAGCCTTGGAGGAGGCAGCTGCCCTGTGTGCTCCTGGGACACCTGCCTGTGCTTTCCCCGGTCACAGCACTTACCACTGGTTTCTTCTCTGGAGCGTAGCTGTGTGACCCCGGGAAAGTGACGTACCCTCTCTGTGCCCTGGGTTCTTTCTCTGTAATATTGGGCTAGGGCAGTGCCTCCTTCGTCACAGAGTGTTGCCCTCCTTCCTGGATAAGTAAGCTGTAAAGGTGGCAGACTTTAGACCCCATCTGCACGTGGTACCAGCTCAGTAATGCCTGTCATTATTCCTCTGTGATTCCTGGCTGCACTCTCAGCTCTTGTGGATTCCTGCTCGCCCACAGAATGGCCGTGGCTGTTAGAAGTCACCCGTGAGCTGACCCGGGGAGGCATCTTCCCCTGGAGAACACAGTCTGGGTCCTCAAGGTGCCTGGAAAGTGCCTGGGCCAACAGGTTCCCGTAGGGAGATTCTTCGGGGATTTGCTGGGCTCTGCAGCCAGGAGAGCTGGAAGTCTGCTCAGAGCCCAGTGGGGGGCTCCCTGGGAGCTTGGGGGTGTCACTGCGGTCCCCAGAGCTGCCAGGTACACACAATAAGCCAGGGAAACCCTGGTGGGTGAGTCATTAGTGGTCCCCAAGGCCCCATGATGGGGGATAGCAGGCAAGCTGCTCTTGGCTACTGCTCTTGGGGTCTCAGTGCCACCATTCAGGAGGGTTCCAGAGTCCAACCTGGTGGGTCCAATCCCGGCTTCTGGGTTGGCCTCTGCCCAGCACCCAACACCGGTTCCAGTGGGTCCCAGAAGTACAATGACCACCACCAGCATCGCCCCCCCTTCCTGAGGCTGTTTATAGGGGATGTTGAGGCTTACACGGGGCTGCTTGGAGGTGGCAGCATGCACTATCTCCGTGGAGGGCTCTGATGTCCTTCCACAGGAGCCCCTGGAAGGTGTAGACCATCTGTCACTTAGGACATATTTAGAAGAGAATGACAAAGGGACCCAAAGAGGCAGAAATGTTGGGGAGGGGGAGGACACAGGCGGCGGGATTTAGATAATGGCAGACAAAGGCAGAGGGGCTGGGAGGAGCAGGGGGCAGCCCCTCTTGGCTGGGGGATACCAGCCTTTCCCTCTTTCTAGTCAACAGCCCTCCCGAGCCCCTTGTCCCAAATCCCCCAACCGGGGTTTAGAATTGTGGCACCAGCCCGACTGCAAAGACTGTCAGTCACCACCCCCCCGGCTTCCTGTTCCTCTGTCCAGGTCTCACCACGCGCCCCCACCTCTGGGCCCTGGAGAGCCCAGGTGTCCCCCCCCATGCCCTGGGCGGTGCCTTGGGTCCCCCGCTCTGTGCTCCCAAAGCCCCGGGCCTCCTACCAAAGCATGACACTCTGTCCTGGAAATGTCCGTTGAGTCCACGTCTCCCACCAGACTGTGGCCTCCTGAGAGCGGAGTTGGTCATTCTGGTGCCTGCTGGGTGCCCAGGGCCCAGCATGTGCACGGCACCCAGTAGGTGCTCAACAAACTGTCTGCACAATGACAGTGGATGTGTCCGTGGGGAAGCTCCTGTCCCCAGAGCTCCACTGAGGGCTGGCTTCACCGCCCACCCCCACCCCGCTCCAGAGAAATCTCTCTCTCCCTGACCTTGCCCTGGGTGGCCCCAGTGCCCCTTGTGCTGGAGAATGGATCCAGGAAGGAACGGTCCTCCAGATCACCCCATTTTGCCCCAGGGGAGAGGGAGCCCACACTGTGGGGCTTTCGGCAGGAGACATGGGCTCCTGCTAAGAGGCACAGTTGTATGTTGGGGTCAGTCTCTTGACTTCAACACTTAATCTGTGTGACCTTGAGAAAGAGCTTAACCTCTCTGGGCTTTGGTTTCCCCCAACAACGAATACTTATACTAAGAGTAGCTTATGGGGCGCCTGCGTGGCTCAGTCGTTAAATGTCTGCCTTCGGCTCAGGTCACGATCCCAGAGTCCTGGGATCGAGCCCCACATCAGGCTCCCTGCTCGGCAGAGGGCCTGCTTCTCCCTCTCCCACTCCCCCTGCTTGTGTTCCCTCTCTAGCTGTGTCTCTCTGTGAAATAAAGAAATAAATAAAATCTTTAAAAAAAAAAAAAGAAGAGTAGCTTATGAGAGAAGAGCTGGAGGCTGGGCTCTGGGGCAGGACACGTGCAGCCCTAATCCCATCTCCCACAGCTGTGGAGCCTCAGCAAATCCCGCTAACCTCTCTGGGCCTTGGAGTCCTTATCAGCACGCGGGGCTCAGGAGATGCTCCCTCTGGGTGGAGAGGTCCAAGGAGGGAGGGAGGGAGCACTCAGGGGAAAGGAGCAGTGATTTTCCTGCCTCTCCATCACTTCCTTTTGCCTTGGATAGGGAATCATTCCTTCCTCTCTGCCACCCACCAGCTAGACCCAGCCGGCACAGGTCTGCACAGGGCCCAGGGCAGGGTCAGCGGTGCGGGGAGGGAGTGGGATCCGGGGGATATGATTGCTCAGGGTGAGATGGCAGACAGGAACGGGAAGAGCTGGGATGAGTGGTGGTGGTGGTGGGGGGAGTACACCTGCCCTGCCCCCCCATGGGGAGGGCGTTGGGGGGGGCAGGGTTATGGGGAAGCAGAAGCCACCAGGGCCACTTTCCTGGCCTTCCCGACATGCTGCTGCCTGGAGCCCAGGAGGGGCTGGCCATCTGCCAGCCCTGAGTGGAAATGTCCCAGTAAAAAGGGCCTTATTGGGACCCCTGTGGAGAGGACCCTGGGTGCTGTCAGGGAGGAGTGAGAGACTGAGAACCTGGGGGCCGCTGGAAAGGGGTCCAGCCCCACCCAGCACTCCCTCCCTCCTCCCCGCCCTCCTGGCTGCTCACCCCGGGTTCAAGTACACTCAGGGGCATGGCTGACCCAAGCAGTGGGGAAGACAACCGGGAATTTGGGGGCCGGGGGTCACTGGGAGGCTATGCGTGAGTGAGTGCGCTTCTAGCTGTGTGTGCTCTGGGTCTTCGTGTGCCCGGCGTCTCTGTGCCGCGTTTCTCTGGTGTCTCTATCGTGTGTCTGATGTTTGGGTGTCTCCGGTGTTTCTCTGCGGTGTGTGTGTGTGTGTTGGCCCGTGCGCCCTGCGTCCAGTGGGCCTGTGGGCGGGTGTCCCTGTGTGCGTGTCTGTGCTGAGTGGCAGGTGCGAGGCTCAGGGCCCACGCTCAAGGTCCTCTGGACACAGAATCCACGCTGTCGGGGAGGAGAGGGAGGGCGGAGAGAGGGCAGGAGAGCAGGCCCGCCCGAGAGCAAGAGCGGAGCCCCGCGCGGGGAGGGGCGGGACCGGGGTGGGGTGGGGTGGGGGGGGTGTAAGCAGCTCGCAACGGGGCGCCCCTCGCCCCGCCCCAGACGCCGCGGGGGGCCTGGTCCCGGCCGCCCCCATCCCCCGTGCGCTCCACGCGGGCCTCGATTTCCAGGCTCGTAGTTGGCCGCGCGTGGCCAGCTTAGCAGTTTCTGGCTTAATGGCAACCGAAGGCAGCAAGGAGAAGTAGGGGGGTGGGGTGGGGAGCGGGGCGTCCCCCCCAGGCCCCGCCGCGACCCCGGGGCAGGTGGGGGGCGGCGGCGCGGGCCCGCGGCGGGAGGAGGGCGCGGGCGGGAGCCGCGAGCGCAGCGCGAGGGAAAAGTTTGCGACCCCGGAGCTGGAGGCTGAGAAGTTTCGGCGGCACCGGGCGGCGCCAAAGCCAGGCCAACACTGCCCCCGCGTGGGCGCGGCGCGGCGCTGCAGCGGGCGGCGGGGCGAGGGCCCGCCGCGGCCCTTGGGGAGAAACTGAGGCTCAGAGAGGGCGAGGCGGGCGGCGCAAGGTCACGGGGCTGGGGGCGCGGTAGAATCAGGCTCCCCAGGAAATGGAAATACTAGGGCGGGGTGGGGGTGTCGTGAAAGCGCAGGAAAGGGGATGAAGGGGAGTCATCCCTGGGATCGAAACCCCATTCAGTCCCCAGGGAAGGGGAGTTTGTAGCGTTGCGCCCATCCCATCCCCCACAGGGTTTCTCCAAACTGCCTTCATCTGTGGCCTTTCTTCTGGAGGCAGAGCACCCCTGCAAAGCAAATCCTCCTCATCCACGACCCTCCTGGCCCTAAGATCCCCACCGCCTGTCCCCGCCCAGCACCCCCCATCCCATCCTTTCCTATTCTGCAGGGTGCCTGAGTGCGGATTCCGTGGCTGTTTCCTCACTGGCCAGGAGGTGGCGATAAAGACCTGGATCCTCGGCTTGGCGAGGGGTTGGGGCCAAAGCGCTGCCTGGACAGAGGGGAGGGGGCTTTAAACTTTGCCGAGGAGATTGACACCCAGGTGTGGCAGGGCCAAACCTGGCCGCCGGGAGTATGGGGCTGGCGATGCTGAGTCAGTGCAGCGGTCAGACCAACGCCACCTGGTCTTTTGCCACCCCCTGATGTGATTTTAAACACTGCCCACTCTTCCTCCCTCCACCACTAGGAGAGAAACAGCTGGTCCCCACCCACTCTGGATGCTTGCCCTCCAGGGACCTGGGGAATGCAGAAGACAAACGTTTGTCCACCCCGCTGGAGTCTGGACACCCTCATTGCCCAGTGGAGGTCAGCAAGTAGCCTTTGGTTCCAGTCAAAGATGGAAGCTGGGGCCGGGGCTCAGGGCACGGGCCTGTTTCAGGTGTGGGTTGATCTAGGTTGACAGAAGCTTGGTCCCAGGTTTGAAGTGTGTGGCAGGGCCTCCCCCCTTCCAGAAGAGGGGATCACCTGGAACAAGTCCTGGCACCTGACAATGGCTTGCCCCCACCCCTCAGCCTCATCCCAGCCATGACTTTGTCCTCTCCCTCTCCTTGGTCCAGGAGCCCTGGCACCTAGAGAGGCTTGTGGGGTGAGACATGGTAGCAGGTCCCAGCCATCTGGAATGCATGTTTATTTGTGGGGTGAGAAAGGCCTCTCCTCACCCCCTGCCCGCGACCATGCGCGGGCTTGGGCTCCAGTAGCCATTCACTTGGGAGCCTCCTGTGGTGTCATGGAAGGCAGGAGGGGCTGGTAGCCTTTAGGGCATCCTCGCTTCAGGACTGTGTGCAGCACCAAGCTGGGCAGGAAGGATTCCTACAGAGACCAGGAGGACCAGCTGGAGGCTGTGGGGTCCCTCTGGGCCAGAGATGTGGCTCCCTGGGCCCAGGGGGATTCTATATCCCAGCCCAAGGGGGCAGGCACAGGGGTCAGCCCCATTGTACAGATGAGGGAATGCAAATGCAAAAAGACCCCAGCGCTTGCAAGTATGGGGCTGGGAATCGGAACCCAGCTCAGTGCGAGAGCCCAGCCCTTAGCCACATGCAGGGAGGCTTCACCCGGTACCCCAGCCACCCCACTGGGCAGGGGTTCTCCAGGTGGCTGGCTGTCAGCAGGCACTCACCAGCTTCCGGCTCCAGGAGCAGGGCGATTTGCCCACCTGCCCCAGGATGTTGTCAGTGTCCAGCAAGGTTTGGAGGTCACCTCGTGGCCTCTGTGTGGTGGTCCTGGGGATGCAGGGCAGGCTGCTCTTCACGGAGGCATCCTCAGAGAGGTGACCCGGTGGCTCCTGGATGGGCCTGAGGGGGACAGGAGCCCGTGAGCTGCATGGACCCTGAATCCCACGTCCACCCATGGCTGGCAGGGCCCTCAAGGCCACCGACCCTTAGGCTGCCCGCTGCTGGGTGGGGTCGTCTACAGGGTGAGGAGGGGGTGCCTGGCAATGCCTATGAATCCTGTCCCCTTCCCCAAAGCCTCACAGGCCAGGGCAGTCCCAGCCGAACGAGATGTTGGCCATGACCTCCTCCTTGGCCCTGGGGCACAGGGCTTTGGACAAACTCTCCAGCCATCTCCTGACACTCCCGAACACCCCTTCTGATGTCGTTGACCGGGGAGCTATCCCATTCTCGATGGTACCCTGCCGGACTGGAGGAGAGAGAACTCCAGTGAGATCTCTACCCGGGGTGGGGGGGTGTACCAACACCCCCACTCTCCCCTCCTCCCTCTCTGGCAGGCAAGGCTGGGCACAGCCCCATCTCCATGGCAACCCAAGGCTCCCCAGTGCCTTATGGCTGCCTCCAGAGAAGGCTCAGGTTTTAAAACTATCTTGCGTGACTGTTTCTGCCTTTATTACCCAAACTGTGCCCCCCCCCACATACCCACTCCTACTGCAGCCCCAAATGGGCCTTCTTTCCCATAATGGGAAGGCCAGTCACACCACCGTGGAAATCCAGAGACAATGGTGAGACTCCTGCAGGGATGGAGGGGCTAGGAGTCTTTCCTGCCCGAGAGCTGCCCTTCCAGCTGGTCAGGGGCCCCAAGTTCCCCAACGGCTGCCTCAGGATGGAAAGGGCTGGGAAGCAGTCAGCCGAGAGAGCCCCACTCTGGTGCCCTGGGATGTGACCACAGCTCCTGCGGCCACTGGCCCCCAAGGAAGCTTCTCCTGAGCTAGCTAGCTGCCATTCCCATGAAACGGTTTCTCCCTGGGGGCACCCCGGCGTCTCTTCTCGGCTGCTGTGTCACCTGCTCTCGGAAGCTTTGGCTTCCCCGTCAAACAACAAGAAACTGGACAAAACTGCAGCTTCTATTTCCAACTTCCTATGACGCTAAGGGGCCTGGGTAGGGTCCCTCCTGAATCAGCAAAGATCCTGGATTTTAGGGCTTTACCCACAGCTAGGCTTTGGAATAGCCACGTTTCCTGAAACTGCACACAGTAGTTGGTCAATAAATAGATGCAAGCTCTTGGAGGCCCTGGGGCTGCTAGCTCCTGAGAAGCGAAGAGGCTGGGCTGATGGAGAGAGGGGCGGGGGGATTGGTAAAAGGTTATACCAGAGCAAGGACACGCATTCTTCCCACCTGCTTCTTGACACCCACTTCAGAAAACACTGGAAACCGTGCCAAGGCAGACACCACCACATCCATCCCCAAGGAGCCGAGGGCAAACTTCCATCTCAGAACCTGGGCCTGGTGGTTCCTAGCTTCTTTGCTGGACCAGCCAGTGCCAGACTTCCCCAGAGAGAAGGTTTGATATTCTGGACCTTTCTGGGCAACTCCTCATCCAGGCAGGCCTTCATGGATATGGGAAGAAGATGCTTTAGGTGCCCTGCCACCTTCTTCAGCCCCTGTAGGCCACGGAGGGGGCCAGACGTGGGAGTCAGGAGGCTGTGGGTGCCTGTTCCGAGGTGGGCAGATGTGGCACGTGGGAACCCGTGGCAGCAAGAAAGCCTTCAGTGGTGGCCAGGCCTGGGCAGCCATTGTTTCCTCCGCTGTGACGCTCCCCGGTGCCACCCACGTTGGGACACCTCTGCAGGACCTCGGACCCTCTACTTGGTCTTTGAGGCCCTCCTGACACTTCTCGGCAGAGTCAGTGGATTCCTAGCCTCTGCAGGCTGGCCCTTACTCCCAGGACCCAGGGCCACAGTCTCTGCTCTCTGGGCTCCAGGCTGGAACTTTCTGGAGTCCTGGGGCTCCCCGCCCTGTCTGCTTACCTGCACAGCTGCGCTCCCAGTAACGGAGCGCTGTGTCCCGCAGGGTCTCATCGGCGAATCGCACTCGGAAGGGGCAAAACCGTCTGCGCTGTCCCGAGCTTTCCCCCAAGGAGCTGTGGGTGAGCACAGCCTTGAGCTTGGGGGCCTGTGCACCGTGGGGCCTGCTGAGAGAGACGAGAGGGGCAGGGGAGGCTCAAGGCTGAGCCCCCAGCCCCACATTCCACCCCAACAACCCATGTCCACTGGACCAGCCCTCGCTGTGTATCCTGACACCACAGTAGCTCGCCTTTTCTGGGAGTACTTCATGCCTGCCAGGCAGTGGATCATGCATGCAGCATGCATTAGCCCGTCACACCCGCACAACCGGGGAAACATGATCATTATTCTCATTTTACAGATGAGCAAACCACAGCACAGAGATGTTTTGCAACTTGCCCAAGGTCACACAGCTGGTAACGGGTAGAGCCAAGATTTTTTTTTTTTTTCCTTGAGCCAAGATTTGAATCTTAGTTCCAGAGCTGGCAATCCTATATATCGAGCAATTCAGCAGAGAGAAGAAGGATGTGAACTTGAGCGTCAAGAAGGCCTGGGTTTCAACCCTAACTCTTTTAAGCCTCAGTTTCTTTATCTGTAAAATGGGGATCATCCTTGTGCCCACCACACGGGGTGGCAAGATGAAATGGGTGCCAAAGCTCTCCACCCAGGGTGTGTGGTGCCCAGAGTAAACATCTGTGACTTCAAACTGTTCTTATAATCATCAGTCTCAGCTACACCTCTACCCACGCATGTGAGTTTGGGCAGACCACACTCGAGTCCTCCGTTTTGCAGTTTTCCCCTCTCAATTATGTATTATATAGTGTAAACATGATAATAGCATCCTTATAAGAGTTTGGTAAGTATCAAATAACTTATGGGAGGCATCTAGTACAAGGCCTGGCATGGGGCCCACGCTGAGTAAAGGGCATTCTGTTATTGTTATATTTATTAATTTCAGCCTCAAGGGCAAGGCTGCGGGAGGGCCTGCTTGATCCACCCATGGCTCTGTTATTCAGAAATGCCACGTTCAACCTTAAGGACACACATATTGATGTATCTGCATCCATTTATCTGACTACATCTTTATGTCTGTGTGGACACGTAAGGGATACTTTCATCAGCCCACAAAAGAGCCAGGCGGTCGGAAGATGTCCCAGACCTAGTGATCCAACAGTTGTCTGCTTATCAAGCCCTGGTCCGTGCTGGCCTCAGGGCTAGACACAGGTGCACCCTGGCTCTGCCCAGGGGACTGAGATCTCAGCTTCTCCTATCAGAGGCTGCTGGAGCCCATTCCCATGCACCCTGGTGTCCCCTGCAGGGCCTACCAGGGAATCTCACACACCACGAGGTACTCAAGTATTAGCTCTTAAATGTGAAACACCGTGACTGTGTCCACCCCTGCTGTTTGTCATATTTGAGATAATGAGTTCCATACTTTTATTTATTATATCTTGTGAGACGTAGTGTGTTTATTTGATTGATTTAAAGTTCCTGGCTTGGCAAATGTGTTTCACTTCTGGCACCTTCTCTGAGCCATCGGTGGTGTCTTCCTGGAGCACTGTGTCCGGAAGGGTTCGAGGCCCAGTGGGGGAAAAATGCTGGGATCAAATAGTACTGTCAGCCATGGGTCCAGAAGGAGAAGGAATGGCATGTATGTTGGGTATTTACTCTCTTTGGTCTTAAAAACTCATGGGCAATGCTCTTCACCTTTCACCTCGGTTTAAGCCTGTTTATGCTGAAGGAGTTTTTTCTGCATTCTTTTTCCCCTTCATTAGAGCTATGGCATCGAGGTCCAGGTAAGCTCTAATGCCCAAGGCTCTTCTCCTATATCTCCATCCCTTATCTCATTTCTCCCAATATCTGACATATAGTAAAACCTAATAAAAGAGGAAGAAATGGACGAATGAACGGTGGGATGGGTGAAAGGATGGAAGATTGGGTGGGTGGGTGGATGGATAGATGGACTCATGAATGAGTTAATGAAAAGGTCTGAATAGAAGGACTGGATGTTAGGAAGATGGGTAGATGTATGGATGGTGGATGAATGACTCTGTATATGGTGAGTATGTGGACTCGTAGATGGCTTCATGACAAGTTATAGATGGACAGTACCCTGGATTTACAATTGCATGGGAGGATTTGTAGATGACTGATCATTGGATTCATGGATGGGTGGATAGAATCATCAGAGTTTCTGGTTAGAAAGATGACTGGCTAGATGGATGAATGGATGGATGAATGGATGGATGGAGAGATTCATGGATGGGTTGTAGAAGACCTGGTTCACAGAGAAGATGTATGCAAGGATGGATAGGTGAATGGGAGCAGGAATATCTGAATGGATTCATGGATGGATTATGAATATGTTGGCAGAAGACCTGATGAATGGGTGGATGGATTCATAGATGTTGATGGATAATCCTTGGATAGGTTGGGAGGAGGCCTGCTCTGGGATAGATCTATGTATTGATAGATAAGTGGATAGATGGATGGATGGATAGATGGATGGATAGATGGATAGATGGATAGATGGATGGGTGGATTCATGGATGGATTATGAATGGTTTGTCAGAAGACCTGATTCACGTGGACACATAGACGGATGTACAGGTGGACAGATGGATAAATTCATGGATGAGAGACAAGAGGAAAGAAAAGAAGAAATGCTCTTTCTTCCCATCCCCCTACCGCCAGTCTCCTGTAACTCACTGGTTGGCCTTCTTGAGGGTGAACTGTGAGTGATCTCTCCTCAGGGTCCCCAGGGCAGGTATCTGATGGAGCAAAATCTTCTTAAGACTATTCTGGAAGTACGATGACTGGCCCCTTGAAGACAAACAAGCCACACCTGGCATGAGTGGTCGGGGTCCCCCATCCTAGGAGCACTGTTGGCAACCCTGTCCCCATCAGCGGGTAACTTGACACTTACCGCAGGTCTGGAAGTTGGGGACACCGGGGCGATTGGTGGCAGTGCTCTGACACACTCCTTTTTGGTTGTGATGCCGAGGGTGCTGGGAACCAGGAGGAGGTGGAAATAGCTATATGAGCCTTCGCTTGGGGACAGTCCTTACTAGGCTCTTCCTAGTTATAGGGCCTTGGGCCTCGGTTTCCTCAACTGTACAAGAGGGGCAATGGTAGACCCGCCCTCGAGGGGTAGTTGCCGGGACTCTGCCAGGCCTACTCCACTAACAGGAGCTGGGATCATCCCGGAAATGGCTCCGCCCCGCCCTTGCCCCGCCCTTGCCCCGCCCTTGCCCCGCCCTTGCCCCGCCCTTGCCCCGCCCCCTGGGGTCCCCGGCGGCGCCTCACTCGGCGGCGGGCGTTCCGCGCGCTCCGCGCCCAGCTGATGCAGGAGCTCCCGGAACCCGCTGGGGAGGAACTCTCCTAGGAGGGCGGGCAGGGTGGCCGCACCCCGGCAGGGATCCTCGCGCTCTCCAGGCCCCGGGCGCCCGGCCAGGAGCAGGAGCGACCTCCGCCTTGTCCGGTTCTGCGCCGCCCGCGGGGCCAGGGCGGGCAGGGCGGGCAGGCGCGGCGAGGGGCTCCTGACGCCCAGCCCCTGCTCTGGGTGCGAGGAGCCGCCCGGCCACCACGCGCCGCCGCCCTCCGAGGCCCTCAAGCCGCCGGGGGACCCGCGGAGCTGGGGCAGGGGCAGCCTGGGCAGTCGCGCGTCTCTCCTTCGGCGAGCGCCGTCGCCGGGGAGCCCCTCGGGCGCCACCTGCTGGGTCCCGGGGTTGGGGGGACGCCGGGGCATGTCTGGCCCTGCGCTCAGCTCAGGGCATCCTCACGCCAGTGGGGCGGGGTGGGTGCCGTGCCAAGTGAAGAGGAGGGCATAGGCCAGCCCCCAGACCATAGTGCCCGGAGGGGGGGTCCTTGTGGCCCGGGGGTAACACCGCTGCCTCGTCAGGCAGCGAGCGGCTTCAGGCCAGCGCTCGCCCAGCCTCTGTTTCCTCACCTGCAAAATGGTCACGTAAGCGTACACACCTTTCTGCGTTGCTGGGGGCGTTTAGGTGTGGGAGCGCATGTAAATGGCATAGAATAGTGCCAGGCACGCTGTACGTGCTCAACGAAAGGCTAGCTGCTATTACTATTGTTATTATTTTAAAATTATTATTATTTTTTAAGATTTTATTTATTTATTTGAGAGAGAGAATGAGATAGACAGAGAGCATGAGAGGGGGGAGGGTCAGAGGGAGAAGCAGACTCCCCGCCAAGCAGGGAGCCCGATGTGGGACTCGATCCGGGGACTCCAGGTTCATGACCTGAGCCGAAGGCAGTCGCTTAATCAACTGAGCCACCCAGGCGCCCTATTTTAAAATTATTATTATTTAGGATTTAGTCTGAGTCCCACTACTTATTAGCTTTGCAAACTTGGACAAGCCAGCTGGTTAACTTCTCTCAGTGCCCTTATCTGTAGAATGGGGATAACAGAGCACCTGCTCCTTTGTGACTTAGCCCATTGGAGTGTTCAAGTCCTATTATGCTATTAGCACTCCCCTGGGAATTAGGAAACCTGGAACCAGCTCCAAAGGAGAGACCTGCCCAGCCGTTGCCCAGTCCTGCTGGGGCCTCAGGGCCCCTTGGGTGGAGAGCTTGTTGAAAATACAGATGCCCCAGGTTCTGACTCAGTAGGTCTGGGGTGGGGCCAAGACATATCTTTTCTTTCTTTTTTTTTTTTTTTAAAGATTTTATTTATTTATTTGACAGAGAGATAGAGAGCACAAGTAGGCAGAGAGGCAGGCAGAGGGAGAGGGAGAAGCAGGCTCTCCGCTGAACAGGGAGCCCGATGCGGGGCTCGATCCCAGGACCCTGGGATCATGACCTGAGCCGAAGGCAGCCGTTTAACCGACTGAGCCACCCAGGCGCCCCGACATATATTTTCTTTTTTAAGATTTTATTTTTAAGTAATCTCTACCCCCAACGTGGGGCTCGAACTCACAACCCCGAGATCAAGAGTGGCAAGCTCTACCAGAGCTACTCAGCCAAGAGCCCCAAGACACATATTTTTAACAAACTTGCCCTTTGGGAGACAGAGCCCCACACTTGCCCCCAGCTACTGACACTGGGGGGTCTTGGAGCCTGCTTCCTCCCTATCACACCCCACTCCCAGATTGTTGTCAGCTCTGAGCTGGCTCCTGGTGTCACACTCACCGCAGGGGGCTTCTGGGTGGGTCCAGAGAAGGTCCCTTGAGTTTAGAGCCCCCTAACCAGTGGGCTGGTCCTTGGGAGAGCCCATCTTCCCAGCCTGATCCCTCTGCTGGACCCTCCTTGCTGCCTCCTGGGCCTCTTCAGGGTCATTGTGATCCGCCCCTCACCCAAGGCCATGGGAGGAACAGCTCTCAAAGGTGGGGCTTTGTGCTCAGGAAGTCAAGGCTGCACTCACAAAGGGGTGGTGGAACCCCTGACAAGGGCAACCAGGCCCAAGCCAGGGGTGGAGGGCCCAGGGTTCCACTCCCCTCTCTGGGTCTGGGAGGCCCAGGTGGGTCAAGTTTGGGCTGGGCAGCTCTGGAAGTACAACAGTAAGAAGGCAGTGGGCCTGGAAGGGAACCGATTTCAAATCCAGGCTCTGCTTCTGTTTGCTATGCAATGCTGGACGAGTCTGTCCGTTCTCAGGGCTCCATCTGGGACTCTTGGCTGGGAGGAGTCTGTACTGTGAAACTTGAGTGGGGGAGAAGGATTGTTTGGACCAGTAATTTCGCTGGCATGGTATCATGTTACAGTTTTATGAGTCTGCCTGGAGGAGGCATCATAGCTGATGCATTTCCATTCTCTGCAAATACTCAACGAGCGATGGAAGGGCATATACCTCCTCAGGAAGTTAGACTATCGAGTGGGAAAGGTGAACATTTTTTATATTTATTCTAAGAGCATGTGGGTTTTTTTTTAAAAAATGGATGAGGAACACCGGACTAACTAGACGATTTCTAAGGAGCCCTCCAGCTCTTGCATGCTGCAAATGTTTCTTGACCAACTACTGTGTGCAAGGCTTGGGAATTCAGAGATGCAAGAGGCTTTGAGGTCGGGGCTATCCAGATCTGGAAAGGCCTCAGAGTCCAGGTGTAGGGAAGGGACTTTCTCTTCCATTGATAGGAAAAAAAAGGTGGGGGTGGATTTTTAGGCACCCCTAAAAGAGCTGGGCTCAGAGCTGCCCCCAAAAGAAGATTATAGACACACCCAGCAATTGAGATTTTTCAGGATTAATCCCCTTCCCTTAGAGACATGGACAATGAAGCTTGGGAGAAGGGCCCAGGTCAGGGGAACCAAGTCTGACCTGGAGTACTGTGGAGAGGATGCCATATAATATATACATACACAGATTTGGGGGACTCAACAGCAGTCAGCACTCTGCCCGCCCCCCCCCCCCCATAGCTTTCATTTTGTCAGAGCAAACACACTTTTTTTTTTTTTTTAAGATTTTATTTATTTATTTATTTGACAGAGAGAGAGCACAAGCAGGGGGAGCTGCAGGCAGAGGGAGAGGGAGAAGCAGGCTCCTCGCTGAGCAGGGAGCCCGATGCGGGGCTCGATTCCAGGACCCTGGGCCCACGACTGGAGCCGAAGGCAGAAGCTTAACTGAGGCACTCCGGCAAACACACTTTTAAGAATCTCCTGTGTGCAAATCTCCTTCTCCCAGAAAAGGGCACTCTAAATCTAAGACCAGGGCATCGGTTTAGGAAAAATGAGTTTATCATTTCACTGCAGGCACTGGGGTGAAGGCTTGACCTGCTATATCCTACACATTTTTTTTTTTTAATTTATTTGATAGAGGGAACACAAGCAGGGGGAGCTGCAGGCAGAGGGAGAAGCAGACTCCCCGCTGAGCAGGGAGCCCGTTGGGGGGCTCAATCCCAGGACCCTGGGATCATGACCTGAGCCGAAGGCAGACGCTTAACCAGCTGAGCCACCCAGGCGCCCCTATCCTACGCATTTAACACTGGCAGAAGAGGAGACTGAGGCTTGCAGAGGTTCACAAAGCCTACCCACCTGCAAACTCACAGTCCATCAAGGTTGTTTCGGGGACCCCTCCAAAATTTCTATACATGGGAGGAGCCCATGGGAGGGCAGACTTTTTGGAATGCAAACCTCAAGTACTTGTTCTGTTTATTTGGGGTAACAACCCCTTGGCACTGTCAAAGGTATTGCTTTCTTTCTTTCTTTCTTTGCGGATCTGTATATTATTTTAAGATGCAAATTGTTATGGGTACGATTTGAGGAATACGGCTCCCTGCCCTCCCCCCACCCCCGCCCCTTTATACACAGTGGAAAACCCACAGAACGGTCGTTTTTTAAAAGCCCAGCCTTCGGCCTCTAACCGGACTGGCGCGCGTGCTGGAGGCAGGGGAGGCTCGGCTGCGCCGAGGCTCTTTGAAGTCCGAGAGGTCCTTCCGGGGACCCAAAAGTCACCCGAGGTCAGCCGCCCACGGGGCGGGGCGAACCGGTCTGGGGCGGAGCTAGCCGCGGCCCCGCCCCCGGCGCCCGGAAGTGACGTGTGCGGACAAAGGCAGCGCGCGCCGCGGGGTGTAGTGTTTGTCCGCGGTTTGGCGGAGCTGGTGGTGGGCTTGTGGGTTCTTCGCTGCCGCCTCGGGCCGCCTTCCCTTTCTCTTTCCCGTCCTCTTCTCCGGGTCCCGGGAGCCCCCGCCCGGGGTGAGTAGCGCGAGGCGGAGCGGGGAGCGGTGGCCGGCGGGGGAAGGGAGGTCCCGGCCCCCAACTGCCGCGGCGCCCTGAGGCCCCGGCCCGTCACGTGACCCGGCGCGAGTTGCCCGGGCCCCCACGTGCGCGCTCCGGGGTGGTCGGACCTGGGCCACCGGTGGCGGCGGGTGGAGGGGGAAGGCCCGAGGCGCCCGGACCCTGGACGGGGCACTCCCCCGCGCCGTCCCGGGGCCGTAGCTAGACCCTTCCGTCTCCGAGCCTCAGTTTCCCCTGTGAGAAATGGGGATTAAGGAGGGCACGCACTCGGAGGGTAGGTGTCAGGACGCAGTAGAACGCTCAGGTCAGAGCCGGGCACAGCGTAGTGCCCGTTGCATGGGAGTCGCTATCATATTTCACCTTGGACCCGACCCCAGATACGGCTCGACACTGGTGCCGGCTCAGAACACAGCTCGCCGCCGAGAGCCCTGGAGTCAAGGTCAGCCAGTTTGCGGAGGGGCTGTCCTATCGAACGAAAGGCCCAGGCTCTGCTGCCCATCAACGGCGGGATCTCTCTGGGATAGAAACCGCTGGTGTCAGAGGCCCTGACGGTGGGGTGGGATAGTCTTGCAGATGGTCTGGATATATAGAACCATTGCCCAGAGAGAGGGGATGAGCCCCTGGAGGACTAGGGCCTTGACTGTGTTAAGAAGTCTGGATTCCCTCCTTACGCTGTTCCTGGTTTCCTGTGTGTATTTGTGTTAAGGCACGTCACTCGTTTAGTGGAATGGTTTTCTGTCCCTCAGCTGGGTTTTGGGGGAGGGCCAACAGCTGATTCATTAGTAAATGTGACTCCCTGGGGCCCTGTCTACACTTTGCCTCCCGGTGTCCAGATTGGAGTGGGCAGGAGGTCCCTAGGGGTCACAGGGAACAGTGGGGTTGTCAAATAGCAGAAGTCCTCATAGACTCTGCCCAGGCTGTGTACAGAGAGAGTACATGTGGAATGCTTTGGTGGGGACCAGAAGCCATAGAGTCACAAAGATAGCGGCCCCACAGTCTCTGCAGTGTTTCTGTGCTTGCAGGGATGGGACGCTCACTCCCCTCCCGCACGTTTGCAGAGCTGTTTGTCTGCTGGGTTGAGCCCCAGCATCACAGTAATAATCCCTTGGGTGTGTCCAACACTACAGTTTCTAGGGCCTTTCACTGCATTTTTCCCTTTTGACTCTACAATTGGCAGAGAATTGGTGAAA